TGGTTCATACTGGAAAGCTACTGGGAAGGAAGGCAGGAGGCAGAACCTTCCCTTGACCTAGGAAAGGTCCCTTATTCCTCTTAAAATCAGGAATAAGGGACCTTTCGGAAAAGGCTTTATTTTCCGAAAGATCCCCGTCTAGACTGGTGCTTTTTTCCGGCAAAGCCCCGAGCCGGAAAAAAGCGGCAGCCATGTTCATGCAAATGGATCGGGGAAAATTTAAATCCCCGCTGCATTTGCAATTCCGACTTGTCTCATCTGCATCCCTTTTCCGGAAGAGGGGTGCAGTGCAGACACAGCCGACCTGTAAATTGAACACCGGAAGATCGACCTCCGGAGTGTCAATCCACAGGTAAGTATAGACGTGCCCTTGTAGTGTAGACAAAGGCTTTGCAGATAGAGGAATCAGTTAAGGCACACCCTTGTGGTCAGATAGCACACCTCAGTCTTCCATTTGTTAAAGGGAGGACTACAACAGGTCATGCTGAAAGGCGAACTGTTAGACTAGAGGGAGTTTACTGGTGGAAATTCCCAGGATCAAACTTGTGACCCATCTTATTTAACAATTGCAGTAATGATGATGGCAGAAAAAGTGGGAGTGTATTTAAAAAAAAATCAGCTGATGCAAAGTTGGGAGGTACTGCCAATGCAGAGGAGGACCAGAATATTATACAGGAAGACTTAGATGATCTAGAAAACTGGAGTAATACAAATGATATGACATTTAATAGAGAACGTGAATAGTTAGGGGTTAATAAAAAGATATATACAATGGGGATTTATTTGTTGGAAGTGACAGAAAAGGAGAAAGACTTGGGGGTACTGGTAAGTCACAGAGGGTATGTCTACACTACAAAGTTAATTCAAACTAACAACTGTTAGTTCGAATTAACTTTAATAGGTGCTACACATGCAAACCGCTAGTTTGAACTTAATTCGAACTAGCGGAGTGCTTAATTCGAACTAGGTAAACCTCATTCTACGAGGACCAATGCCTAGTTTGAATTAAGTAGTTCGAATTAAGGGCTGTGTAGCCACTTAATTCGAACTAGTGGGAGGCTAGCCCTCCCCAGCTTGCCCTGGTGGCCACTCTGGGCACAAGGGCTGTGAAGCCACTTAATTCGAACTAGTGGGAGGCTACCCCTCCCCAGCTTGCCCTGTTGGCCACTCTGGGCACAACCAGGGAAACTCTTCTGCCCCCCTTCCGGCCCTGAAGCCCTTAAAGTGCCACGGTCCGGCTACAGTGCTCGTGCCAGGTGCAAGCCTGCCAGCACCCAGCCAGTAGACCCTGCACCTGTCACAGCATGAGCCAGCCACCCGCTGCCACCCCGCCCCT